GGGTTGGTCACAAATACCTTGGTAGGTCTTGCTATCTTTGTATGTCAGTGAAAAATAAAGCAATGGGGCAGTTGCCTAATCAATAAATAATCGTGAAACACGTTTCCATCACCATTTTTAATTAGGATAAATTACACAAAATTATTTCAATTCTCATACCTCATATTTTAAACATTACAATGTAATACCTCATCTTATAAATTTGTTGTAATATCATACATCTGTCAACTTTTTTGTTAATTTTTCTGTTAAATGCTGACGTGATATCAGTAGAGCCCACTCATTTGCTAATTGAAATAAAAAATTAATTAATTAATAATAAAATATTTGTTAATTATTTAACAATTAAAATTAATTAAAAACAAATAATTTTGTGGCCCCCATCCCAATCTCTCTCTTTCACTCTCAAACGCTCCCTTCTCTAGCAACGCTCACATCTCTTTTTTCTTTATGCTCACAGAGAAACTGAGTCAGAAAACGGCCACCCACTAGTTGGCGATTTCTGCAGAGATTCGTCGTTCGTCCGTTGCTCTATCGCTGCGCCGTCCGTGTGATTGGGTCGACTTGGTCTGGGTTGCAGGTTGTACTACTGCAACCGTCGAATTTTGCAAGGAAGAAGGCCAGAAAATTTATGCACCGTTCAACCTCAATTCTCTACCAAAACACATGAAATTTTTATCTCAAAATGAAGATCACAGAAGAATGAATAGAAATATACCAATTTTAGGCAAAATCGTGGCCAGATAATGGCCTGAGAACGGCCTGAGCTTGTCAGCCCAAAACTGGGTTTGTGGCTGCGAAATCATGGCAAATTCAAGCCTCCCATACTCTAATCTAAACGTCAGGATGAAGGGGAAGTGATCTGTGGTCCTAGTCTCGTCCAATCTGACGAGGAATTGCCGGATTTTCATCGGGAAATCGCGAGGTGGTGGTGACTCCCATTTGTGTTGTTGTACAGAGAAGTTGAGAGGTTAGAAAAACTTGGGAGTTGAGCGTTGAGGGAACAAAGAAGAGAGAGTGACACGGTTGTGGTGATGGTCTGGTGGGTGGCCGTTATGGGCTCGGCTTCTTTGTGAACACAGAGAAGAAAAAGATGTGAGCGATGTGAGATGAGGGACAAAGAGAGAGATTGGGATGAAAGGGCCCACAAAATAATTTGTTTTTAATCAATTTTAATTGTTAAATAAATAAAAAATATTTTATTATAAATTAATTAATTTTTTATTTCAATTAGCAAATAAGTGGGCCCGTTCATGCTATGTTAGTATTTAACAGAAAAATTAACATAAAAGTTAACGGATTTATGACATTGCAATGTTTAAAACATAAGATATGAAACTATTACGTGACTCATAATTGAAGTAGTTTTGTGTAATTTACCCTTTTAATAATCTATAATTTGATGGACCCTCAATATTTACTATTAATTTTAGAAGATACAACAAGTCAAAGTGAGCCACATATCATTTGTATTAGACAATAATTATACGTAGACATGCAAAATTAACACATTTTTGACGCATTGTCTAATAGACGCAGGTATTACTATAGTTTTGTGGAATCTATTTATATTGGAGTGTGTCAATTTTGTATGGCTAAATATCACTCACTATAAATAAATAAACAAATATATATACATACATATCAACCTCATATGCATGTAAGTCAAACATTTGACCTCCTCCTCCACTGTATACGTAGAATTGTGATCGAGAAGAAACGGTTTCATCTGACTAAGCGAAAGGAGACAGTTGGAATTGGTGAGTTTCAAAAAGTGAGCAACGTTAAAAGAGGGTCCAGTGAAAGTAGGGGATGAAGATTTGAAGAGACTTGCGTAGTCAAGGGGAATAGGGAGAAGGTGGCACGCCAAAAAGCGAAGTTTGGAGAAAATTGACCTAGAGGGGGACGGCAAAAGGTTGAAGAAAGGGGAAAGGAGGCTAGGGTGTTACCAGGAAGAGGGAACCTAAAGCTAGTAATATCATGTAGAATTGTAATTCTTGATTTCATTGATAATATAATATTACAAATATATACTAGTTAATTGACTTAAGAACAAGTTATTTTAAGCCTACAGGAATTACAAGACTTAGCCCAGCAGACTCCTAAACGGATTCTTCTATACTAACAATATATCAACCTTAGATTCATGTGAATGAAATTTGAGATATCTTCCACCTAAATAAAACAAAGTATTGCTAGACTAACTAGTCATTTACGATGCTAATTATGTATTAAGGTATCCACACAAAGCTGAGGACATAGTTTTAGAGGCAGGCTACGTTTGACTTTTACTAAAAAGTCAAATTATTGAATGCTTCAAACTTGAACACTGAACTATAGAAAGCCTGCAACCAACATTTCTTTTGTATAAGCGTGTCTGCAGTCATACTTTGGTCTATTCGCCATGAAAGTTCCTCTCGAGCTATATCTCTTCAACTTCACTTCTTTCCCTATGCTGCAGCTCCTCTGGCAATGACCATGACTCGAATCGACAGCCGCCTTCTTAGCCTTGCCAAATTTCGCATCTTCTATACTCTTTTAATTGTTGCAATCATCGTCCTCGTCTATGCCGATAATATCATCCATAGCGACTCAGAACAGTCAGTAGCGTCGAACAACAAGGCAATTTCTCTGTTGCTGCAGAGTTATGATCATAATTCTGCAGGCAGATTGATCAAGTCTGATGTAAGTCACTTAGTTCTGCGTTCCATGCAGGAGGAGACCATTGAAGTTGGTAGAGAAAACACAAGGCCTCTTGTTCCTCCTTTCAATGTCACAGAAGAAGAGAGAATTGCTTGGTTCCGAAGCATGCTGTCGGAATTTCACATTTTCAAGTCAGACAAGTCTGCAAAGCAATTCCATGGCCGTGTTCTGGAATTCTTTAACAAGGAGTGTGAGGGTCAGTTCTTTATGACATGGATTTCGCCAGCGAGGTCTTTTGGGAGCAGAGAGTTCTTGACAATGGAGAGTCTCTTCAAAGCCCACCCTCGTGGATGTTTGATGATTCTATCGAGAACTATGGACTCCAAGTGCGGTTACAGAATTCTGAAACCGCTGAAGGATAGCGGATTCAAAGTTCATGCTGTGACACCTGACTTGTCATTTCTGTTGAAAAATACGCCGGCAGAATCCTGGTTTGCTGAGATGAAGAGAGGCAAGAGAGACCCTGGTGAGATTCCATTAGCCCAGAACCTGTCAAATTTGATGAGACTCGCAGTTCTATATAAGTATGGAGGTGTTTACTTAGACACAGACTTCATCGTCTTGAAATCAGTTCTCGGAATTGAGAAACTCGATCGGTGCACAAAGTGTGGATGAGGTTTCGAAGAACTGGACCAGATTAAACAACGCAGTTCTGATCTTTGATATGAATCATCCCCTTCTGTACAAATTCATGGAGGAATTTGCCCTCACTTTTGATGGGAATAAATGGGGGCATAATGGTCCCTACCTGGTTTCCAGAGTGGTCCTGAGGGTGCAAAACCGACCCGGTTATAACTTCACGATTCTACCCCCTCTCGCCTTTTACCCCGTCGATTGGAGTAGGATCGGAGGATTTTTTAAGAAGCCGGGAAGTCCAGCTCATTCTCGATGGATAAGAGAAAAGCTGCTTCAGCTGAGCGGGGAGACTTATGGAGTACACCTATGGAACAAGCAAAGCAGCAGAGAAGTAGTTGAAGAAGGAAGCCTTATGCAGAGATTAATCTCCGATCGCTGTATCATTTGCAACGACATATACAGTTCTTCAAGAATTTTAATCGAATAAATGGTGAAGCATCTTCAATCTGCGACAAAGTGGCAGACCGGAAATTAGTCTGTCTTTCGGTTTTTTCATTCATTCTTTTTTTTTTCCGATCACACAAACTTCGTTTTTGATTTCGAGTTTTTAGCCCCACTGTAATTAAGATCATTGTTTGATTGTAATTTGTAAATCTCAGATTCTGTAAACAAGTTAAGAAGTTCCCGGTTTCAATATGTTAATCGAAGTTAAACTTTTCATTTATTTATAAATATATGTGGTTTGTATTACAAGTACGCAGACTAATATCAACATTTTCTTCTACTAAAAGCGATCCTAAGCCGCCGTAATTTCAATCTAATTCTAAATCTAAATCCTTTGCATCTCCATAATCCAAATCCTGGCAATCTTCTAAACGACTTTGTCTTAGTCAATCTGCGGGCGCCGATTCTTACATCTCTATTCCGAAAGCCATAATCTCCACCCAAGAAGCTACCATCTGAAGCAAACTTATCCTGTCCATCACCAATCCTAGAACCCTTTATTGGTCTAAGCTGTTTGATGGATTCCCAGGGGTGACGGGTTTCGTTCTCATTGTCTGTATCACTGCCCCATAGAAGGATAGGCTTAACTATCGAGGATCCACTGAAATCCTCGAAATGGTTCCCCAAACTTGTATGCTCCATGTCAAACAATCTGCTCAAAGATGTGTTTCCTACTTTCATCAAACCAAACAAACTGCTACTTCTTCGAGCTGAAGAAAATGACGAACAGGAAGCAGAAGAGGAAGACAAGGAAGACAAAGAAGATGAAGACTGATGAAGCGACTTCTGATACTCTATAATCCGCCTTATCCTCTCCTTCTGAGCTTCTGGATCAGCAAAAAGCCCGATCTCATCATCATCCTTCTCTTCGGTTATTTCCGACAAACTCATCCTAATCCTAAAGACCCAGGGTACTCGGATTGTACAAAAGGAACAGACAAGGTGCAGGTTTATGAAGAAGAAGCAGAATAGGGCAGGAAAACACCAACAGATGGGACTAAGCCGGCGATGAACTCCCTTACAAACTATAAAGAATGTCGAAGGCCGGCGACACGAAAACATTTGTTTTTCCTTCCATATCTTTCCAAGAAGATTTTGTGTCCAAAAAGACAAGACAGTAACACAAACAAGTGAAACAGAACTACCCAAGCATATCTGGGTAATTGTCCGCCCAAACTATAAGGAAAACTACAAATTAATTAATTAATTAATGGAAATTGAAAATTTAAAGCTTTGACTCATTAATTTCAAGCAAGAACAAAAAAAATATTTGATCAAAATCCTCATAACATAAACTCAAGATTCATAAATTACAGTTAAAAAACAGAAATTAAACAAATTGGAGGATCCATTAATTAACTAAGACAAGGACTCATCAATTTCAACTTTGACAATCGTATCGTCCTCAAACTTATCTTTCTTTGGGGGCGCCGCCGGCACCGGAACCCTAGGTGGTCCTCTGCCTTTGTTCTTGTTCCGCGGCCGCGCCTACAGTTTAATTTTCGATCTTTCTCAGAACAATTTCGAACTTTAAAAGAACAAAACCATCACTTCAATGAAATCCATGAGCTTTTTTATGTGAAACGGTGAAAATTTAGAAATTTGACTTACATTTCCAAAAGAGTGATTGAAGCGCTTTCCCCTTTCGGTTTTCTTATCGCCTCTGCCGCAATATACTGCAGAAGCACAAAACAAAATTAGCGCAAGTTACACAGAGAGAAAGAGGATTTGGGATTTGCGTATACCTGAAGGAACCGGTGGAGAAGAAGCTGTGGAGAGCGAGAGCGAAGCAGTGGAGGAGGGGAAAGATATGGCAAGGGTTTCGGAGCGAGAGAACGAAATGCGGGAGTTGAAAGCGAGCGACTGAGAGGGGGCCGGGGGAGCTCCGAGTATCAGTGACGCCATGGCCGGAGCTTGAGGAGAAGAAGCGGATAAGGTTTTCGAGGGAAACTGTGGCTCTGTTTTAGAGACCGTTGGGTTGAATATCGCTTCCATTTGTCTGCGTTTTGTAGTTTGCTTTGAAAAGCCCAAGATTAGGTTGGGCCTTTGGTTCTTTTGGTATACTTGATGAGTAATTCTTTGTAGTCTCTGCCTACAGATGGACTGGAATTTAGGAGTGAGCACGAGCCGGACCGGACTCAAAATTAAAAGGACTGGACTGCATCCTTTTGAAAATAAAATGGAGAGGGCCGGGCTATGTTATGGAAATTTAATATAGGAATCGAACCTAACCTAACCTGTTTGAAAGGGAACAGGTCCTACAAGTCCATCGGTCAGTTTTATATATTTTTGTTAGAACAAGAACCATAGTTTTCTTGGTTCTTTAAAAATAGGCTCTTACATCTCATATTCTTCGGATAAAAATTCACTTCTGTATAAACATTCAACAAATACTCAAAATTTTATTAAATTGCTACATTAGAAAATATATGACCTACTAGTATAAGTTCTTTACGATTTATGCCAGAACTTCTATAATTGTTCACACATTCATTATTAGCCAACCATTAATTTGATTTGATAGGGCCTAACGTTTTTTTAAGTAATTTTTGCAAACACACAAACATATATAATGGTAAAACATAAAACTAATAAGTAGGTAATTATTCATATAAAAATAAAATTATAGATACATTACTGTTGTAAAAAGAAAAGAATAGGTAAATTAGTTTCCTAAAAATAAAAAATATATAAATTATTTTTATAAATACATTAGTTTTGTAAAATTTAAACAGTAGGTACATTACAAACACAGTTGGCAAATTATTTTCCTAAAATTAAAAAATAAGTCAATTATTTATGTAGATACATTAGTTTTGTGAAAATTAAACAATAGGTACATTATTCGTTTTATATATATATATATATATTTATTTATTTATTTATTTTTATTTTTTATAAAAATTACGATATTCATTGATTGAGAACGGAACACATATAACTTCTTTTTTTAATACATACGATATCATCCATATTAGGAGGTAAGGAGTATGCTAAGCCTCACAATGTGCTAGCCATAATAATTTGGTTCGAATTCGCATCTGGCGAGAATCGAACCTAAGACCTCTTACTTACAAAGTTACAAGTGAATAGGAATACCAATAAACTCTAGAACTAAGCATTAATTTTATAATTTTTATACAATAAATAAATTATATTATAAAATTATAGGTGAATTATTTTTGTGACAAACAATTTAATAGATAGACTATTTCACTAAATTAAGAATCTGTACTATTACTATTATCTCTACAAATTAATGAAACCCTCTTTGTCAACCAAAAGAAGGTGAAAAGACAACTTAATGTTCAATCACACAAAAAAAAAATGATGGGCAATAATGTAATTTCACATGTCCAAATTTTACTGTTTTTTATTGAATCCTTATCTACATGTGATGTTAAAATACCTCCCATATTAAAAAAAAAAAAGAACCTCCCACTCCCCCCACGTTCTCTCTCTTTCTCTTTCTCTCTCTCTCTCTCCCCCTCTCCCTCTCTCCTTCTCATTTTCTAAAAAAAAATGTGTTCATATATACAAAATGTGTAGACAAATGCTAGTACTATTATTAAGAAAACCCTCATTGTCAACTTTTTTTTCCCTTTTTTTCCCTATTTTGCCCTCACTTTTGATACACACTATTGACAAAAGGAGGGCAAAATAGTAATTTTGTACCTTTTGACAAAATGACAATCATATCCCTATTTTTCCTATTTTACCCTTTTTATGCTTATTTTTTCAATTTTACCCTCACTTTTGATACTCAATATTTACATAAGAAGGACAAACAGTAATTATGTAATATTAAAAAAAATATACACTTATGAAGAGAAATTATTCACACACACAAAATATGTGCTCTCTGCTAATACTTTTTAATACATCCAAAATTTTGTTGAAATTAAGAAAACTTTTAAATTTAATGCCTATATCAATTAGAAGAAGATTTTATGGAGTGAGAGAGAAACATGAATGCACGGGATGAATTGCAACCAAATTAATTACAAAACATGGAAATCATGATTTCAGTTGTTTTTTTTATTTTTTTTTTATTTTAAATTTGTGTACAGAGGTCCACGTGGAAATCATGATTTCAGTTATTTCTATAACAACTGAGATTCCTACCATCTCACTAGCCAATATGCAAGTATTTATGGAGATTAGTATCCATATGTAAAATGATGGCCGTGTCCCTCTTTAAACATTATTGTTTCATAAAGCCCATGATGTATTCTCTCATGGGAGGGATAGCTCATTCTTCTCTTGTGAATAATGTATTTTGATCGTCCAAATTTCATAATCGGAAATATGGAATTTCTTAATCTTCATTTGAAGATCATCCTTACAAAAATTCATTTCAATATGAGATAATTTAGTCATTCAAATGTATAAAACAAATCGACGTAACAAATTCATGATGAACCGTCCATTTGTTTGATGCATTTGGATGATTAAACAATCCTCATTTCAAATTATTTTTTGTAGAAGTGATAATCAAATGAAGATCAATAAATTGAACAGTACTGATTGTTGAATTTATTCGGACAAGATACGTTATTTGCAAATATAAGGATATGTACACTCCATATGGGGATGTAAGTATTATTCATAGGTATAATCACTAATAAGTATCTTTAAATGTCACAACATTGAAAGAACTGACAGCAATTATATATAAACCCTACAATTATTTGAACCTAACATTACAACATATTTTCTTAATTTAAGGACAACACCTGCAAATAATTGCACATTGATTCTATCATGCAGCTAATTCTTCACAGATGATTGGACAACACCTGCAAGACTACTGCAAGTTTTAAACGTTTTAGCTACTATATATATATGCACTTGGCAGACCGCACAATGCAACACACCAAGAACAATGCTTTCTCCAAAAAAATCCTCACCCTATTCTACTCTTAAGAAAATGAAAAGAATGTCTCAAAAAGTGTTTGATTACAGGCAACTTAGGCGCAGTGCCAAATCTCCCATCTTTTCCGTCGTCTCATTTGCCGTCATATTCTTCATCATCTATGCAGACAACATTGTCTTCAACCTTCCCATGCATCCTGTTGACTTGAGAATTCGTGAACTTCTTGATTACCATAACACTGAATTACCTCAGGAGCAAATCGACAAAAAGGTTAACGAAGTTGCTGAAGAAATTTCTGATCCTTTGTTGCCTCCAGACAATGTCACAAAAAACGAACGGCTTATGTGGTTCCGGCGCAAACTCCCAGAGCTAGAGATACTCAAATCAAACAATTTAGCAAAGCAATTCCACGGTCGAGTACTCGAGTTCCTCAACCATCGATGTAGCGTTCAGTTCTACATGATTTGGTTTTCGCCGGCAACCAGTTTCGGAAAAAGAGAATTCTTGGCAGTGGACAGCCTCTTCAACTCCAACCCTAAAGCATGCTTGATGATCCTATCGAAAAGCATGGATTCAGGACGAGGGTACAGAATCATGAAGCCAATACTAGATCGAGGATTCAAAGTACTCACGCTGACACCAGACCTGCCCTTCCTATTAAAGAACACCCCAGGTGAAGTTTGGCTAGAAGAATTGAAGAGTGGGAAGCTGGACCCCGGATACATCCCGTTATCTCAAAACCTAGCCAATCTAGTTAGGCTAGCAATGCTGTACAAGTACGGAGGAATCTACTTGGACACAGACTTGATACTTCTGAAGGATTTCTCAGCATTGAGGAATGCAATTGGAGCGCAAAGTTTAGATTCGGAGAATAAAAATGCAAACATGCTAAATAATGCAGTCATGGCCTATGACATAAGTCATCCAGTTCTACTAGACTTTTTAGATGAATTTGCTTCTACTTTTAATGGGAATAAATGGGGTCACAACGGACCATACTTGGTGACTAGGGTAATTGGGAGACTAGGCAGGAGTGCAGGATCGGTTGATTACAACCTTACTATCTTGCCTCCCAAGGCATTTTATCCGGTGCACTGGAATCAGATACGCGTTCTTTTTAGGAAGCCGCGGAAAGGGTCAGAATTGAGATGGGTAGAAAGCATGTTGAAGGAGCTAAATGATGGAGACACTTACGCTTTGCATTTGTGGAACAAGAGAAGTAGGGACTTGGCCATTGAAGAGGGGAGTGTCATGGCCAGATTAGTCTTAGACAACTGTGCCGTTTGCCCTAGCATATCTAATCCTTAAAGTAATATTTATTTGGCACAAGATGGTGAAGGTGAAGCCTATATACTTAAGCAAATTGTCTTGTCGTTGGAATTCATATTAGAAATAAAAAAGTAATCCTAAAAGAATTAGCTAACCCACCGTGTAAATTAGGACTCATTTGGAAGTGTTTTTAAAATGACTGAAAGCATTTTTAATGAAATTGATTTTGAGTTCCAAAAACACTTTTAAATGGTTTTTTTAAAAGAAGCACCAGATATGTGCTTCTTGTAGGAAGCACTTAAAGTGCATTTCTAGGATCCTTTTGGATTTTTACTAAGGATTGATTTCAAAAATATTTTCACCAAAAACGCATTCAATTATTTTATAAGCACATCCAAACAAGCACTTAGTTCTGCCGTTGCCTTTTTCCTACTTATTTGTGATGATTTCGTCTGAAAAGGACCTAAATCAACCATCAACCATTTTACCCTTCAAATAGAACACTGAAATCAACATTATGTTTTTGGAGGAAGAAAATAAATTTGAAATTTGGATAAAAATAATTTATAATATGCACCAATTCCTTGTTTGGGTTCATAAACATAAAAATTTAGATTTCCACATGAAAAAGAACTTGGAATTCAAGACCTCCAATTCCCAAATTAAATTCCATGCAAATAGTTGTTATTTTCTAAATTTTCATGAGTGAGAGTTTAAAGATGTAAAATACAAATAATAATAATAATAATAATAATAAAACCTATCGATGAGTGGCCACCACCACATGTTACTGCCACCATCACCACCCACCATATCTCATCACCAATATCACGGCTAGCACCACTACATACTGCTGCCTCCCTGCCGCTGCCGCCGTGACACCCCACCGTCACCACCTACCATCATTGCCGCCGTCCCTACCAGTACATTTCTTAACTACTATCTCTCAATTATTTATATATATATATATATATATTAATGACTATACACACATTACATTTTGTATTTAAATTCCATTGTTCTTTTAAAAAAAAAAGAAAAAACTCACAAATTCTAGATAATAAAATTTCATCATTTTAATTTATATTACTTTAGAGTTTCTTAGTAATCTTAAATTTCTTCTTTTAAACGCAATGTAAAAGAATTGAGGGAGGACTAAAATGTTGGGAGTTAATTAAAGTGTGAAGACTATAGAATTTATTCTTGATCATATTTAGAAGAGATTTTTCACTGTGCCAGGAACACGGTCTGGTACATCAAGTCCCACAATACTAGTGGATGGATACTTGCAAAAAAAAAATTCAACCACTTGTATTATGACACTTAGTGTACTGAGGTATGTTCTCAATACATTGAAAAATATCTCCGTATTTATGTAACAAAATGCAAATAATCAAGGTATAATTCATGGACCAATCTTATACGATTACCCAACCAACAAGTTCTTACCTCTTAATTAACTAGCTAGTTAACATGTCATTGCCTTGCCTTCTTTCTCTAAAGATGCCTTGCCTTGGCAATGGCATCACATGTCTTAGTAGTCCATAAAATGTCATGTCTAGCATTGCATGCCATGCTAGGGTGAGCCTTGAATTTACAATGAATGAGATTTCTACAATTTTCATATACAATTCAATAACTATAAAGACTCTATACCTTCTCATATAGTCATTATTATTTGACAGACCAATGGTTGTAATGGGTGTAATAAATAAAAAGTTACAAATAGATTTAAATTTGACATTGTCATATATTAACCTCTTGATCGATTCAAGATGTAATTGGTATTTATGTCCAATAAGCAAGTATTAAATGTTTGTCACAATGCATGAAAGCTCAATCCTTTATGATTGATTTGAACATTGAAAGAACTAAAGCAATTAAATTTGGATCCATAAAATATTGTACGAGATTACACTCCTCATATTTGTTGAATTAGTATTGGACCACACCTGCAATAATTGCTAAATACACTCACATCTAATTCTTGCAAAGATGACTCATTTCCAACCCATGTTTAAAACATCAGGAGGGTCACATCATTGCAAAACACGATTCATAATTTCATACAGTTAAAAACCTCCTATACGACTATATATATAATATTGTATAAATCACTTGGCCTTACCACCATATTATTTATTCATCATATTAAGATCAATACTTTCTCCAAAAAGTTCCTTACCCAAATTTACCCTCATGTCTGTCAAAAGATTAATTTCACAAAAATTTACCCTCATGTCAGTCAAAAGAACGCCAGAAAATGTACTGTTGGATTATAGGCTGCTCAGCCGCACAGCCAAATCCTCCATCTTCTCCACCGTCTCATTTGCCGCCATATTTTTTATCATCTATGCAGACAGCGTTATTTCCAACCTTTCCATGCAAAGAGTTGTCCCGAGCAATCATGAAATTCTTGACCATGATCACCAGACTCAAATTCCTGAAGAGCAAATCAAATCAACGTCACAGCTTCCGAATATGCAAGCAAATATTGATAACATTGAAGATGAAATTCATGATCGTTTGGTTCCTCCGGAAAATGCCTCACAAGAAGAAAGGCTAGGGTGGTTCCGGCGAAAACTGCCGGAGCTTGAGATACTACACTCTGACAACTTGACAAAGCAATTCCACGGTCGAGTGCTCGAGTTCCTTAACACTGGATGCAGCTCTAAGTTCTATATGATATGGCTTTCACCGGCAAAGTCATTTGGGAAAAGAGAGTTCTTGGCCTTGGACACCCTCTTCAAGTCCAACCCTCAAGGCTGCTTGGTGATCGTATCGAAATCCATGGATTCCGAAAGAGGGTACAGAATCCTGAAGCCACTGCTGGACAGAGGATTCAAAATACTAGCAATCACGCCGGACTTGCCCTTTTTGGTCAAGGACACGCCGTCTGAATCTTGGCTTGAGGAATTGAAGAGTGGGGGGAAGGACCCAGGTTACATCCCATTACCTCAAAACCTAGCAAATCTTATTAGGCTTGCAATGCTGTACAAGTATGGAGGCATATATTTGGACACTGACTTCGTAATATTGAAAGATTTTTCGGGGCTGAGGAATGCAGTTGGAGCACAAAGTATAGATAAGAACTCCAAACAATGGACTACACTAAATAATGCAGTGATGATTTTCGACGTAAACCATCCGATTCTCGTGAACTTTTTAGCCGAATTTGCTAAAACTTTTAATGGGAACAAATGGGGTCACAATGGACCTTACTTGGTTTCGAGGGTAATTGAGAGAGTTGGAAACACACCAGGTTACAACCTTACAATCTTGCCTCCCAAGGCATTTTATGCGGTGGACTGGGTTCGGATACACAGGCTTTTCAGGAAGCCTAAGAAACGATCAGAGTCAAGAGCGGCGAAAATCATTCTAAATGAGCTAAATGACGGGGAGACTTATGCCCTGCACTTGTGGAACAAGCGAAGCCGTAAGTTGGTTATTGAAGAGGGAAGTGTCATGGCTAGATTAATATCAGAGCATTGTGTCATTTGCCAGGACATATATACTTCCTAAAGAAGATTTATATTTTGTAATATGGTGAAGGGGAAGCTACTTTTAAGCATATCAACTCATCTGTGGCAAAGCCGCTGCAGAAATGAAAGAAAGAACAGAAGCTTATTATTCCGAACCAAACTGAATTGGTATTTTAGGTTTGAATAAGTCCCAAGGCCAGGAAAGCTGTTATCTTTTGCCAAAGATTTGTAATTTTCGGTCTTTTCCTTCAAGATGTTCTATTTCTCCAGTTTCAAATGTAAAACGATCGCTGCTTTATATTTATATGTAGTTGTAGATGTTCTATATTACAAATACATCTGTAATGGTTCCCTCCGTTTCGAAGAGTGTTCATAATTTAGAGGATCTAGCTAATATAAGGCCCGGTATTTCTATTTCGAAGAGCGTTCAAAAGTCATAAATTTTGGAATAACCATTGGCAGTTACTGGTTAAGGAATCATTACCCTTTTTTTTTTTTTTTTTTTTTTTTTGAACAAACAATATTATTTACACGAAGGGGGAGGGATGGGCTAGTAATAATGTGGTTCAAATTCACTTTTGGTAAGAATCGAATCTAAAACCTCTCACTTACAAATGAAGAGGAATACCATTAGACCGTAGTACTAAGTGACAAAGGATCATTACTATTAGAAGTCAAAACATAACTAAAAAGCAATCATTTACTCAGGATATCAAGAGCTCATTTAGCAAGTGCTTTTAAACAACTGAAAGAGCTTTCAGATAAAATGTTTCTGCAACCTAATAAGCCCCCAGAAGAAAATAGAGAAAAATTGAAAAGGAAGTGGGAAAAATGGTTCTATAAAGGATGAATAAAGGGCTCTGCCGGCCTAGGACCAACGCTGGCTGCGCGACTAAGGGTTGGTTTGGTATTGCTGTGCTTTGAAAAAAAGCTGCTTCTGTTGTGCTGTGAAAAAAAGCGGCTGTGAAAAAAAGCCAGCAGAGTGTTTGGTAAACTTTTTTGTGAAAGTGCTTTTGGAAAAAAAAGCAGTATGATAGTGTTTGGTAAACTTTTATGTAAAACAGCTGTGACTGTGTAAAATGACCAAAAAGGGTATAATACTAGATGAGCCATTAATTTAATTTTCTTAACCAATAAAGGTGAATTACTAAATATACTTTATTTGTAAAAGAAACATATTTATAAACTTTATCTTAAATATTAATTAGTATGACAAACTACTTCAATTGAAATATTTTAAACTGAATTGTTAGAATTCATTAGTACAATATTGTAAACTTCTCCTTTTTTGGATTTAGGGTTTTGATTTGATTGGTTTCTGCTATCCAACTAGGCTTTTTTGGGTTTTAGGAACTCGATCAAATTACGGTTCTTTTTCTTCTAATTCCTGTTCAAAGAATCAATCATAGAAGAGGAGGCAATGGCGACGGAGTCATCGGAGGGAGAAGAGGATGCGAAGCTGATGGGAGGGAACCAGCTGCTAGTAGTCGACGACGATCTCAGAGAAATGGGCAAGAAGGCTGCTTGGAGCGTCAGCTCCTGCAAGGCCGGCAATGGCGTTTCGTCTCTCCGTGACGACAATCTCAACACCTACTGGCAGTCTCTGCTTCAATTCCCCTTTCCCTTTTTTAATCCCTAAAAAATTTGAAATCTTTGAACTTTAATTTTGTTTGTTTGTTCTTGGTTTGCAGATCCGACGGTGCGCAGCCTCATTTGGTGAACGTTCAATTCCAGAGGAAAGTGCAGAGTGTAGGATCGGGAGAAGGAGAAAGGAGAAAGGAGGGGGCAGTTTTGGTAAATTGAAAAAATTCATTAATGGGGTACTGTAGCTCTGCGTTTTGGAAAAATAAGCGGCTTCTTGGAAGCTGCAAAATGCAGCTTCCACTTTTTGGCTTTTTTTCATGTGAAACTTTGAAATTAAGCTGTTTTGGGATGTTTACCAAACACCAAAATCCTTACCAGCTTTTTTTCATGGTAGCTTTTTTAAAAAGCACCTCAACCCCAAACTGGGGCTAAAGGAGAGGGGAAGAGAAGACAGGGAGGCAGGATTAGTTTTACAACGGGTAATTAAGACTTTTTATGTGGATTTTTGGTTAGAATTATAACAAGTTTGGCTAAAATTCAATTCATGCTTCTAAAATTGGTTATCTTTCAAAATTTCCCATTCTAATTCCATAACATTGAAGTAAATAGCTTCAACATGAATTTGATTCTGATTCTTCCTTATTCCAATTCCTTCTCAATTCATTTTCTCCTATTTTGATTACGATTATGTAAACAAGCCATTGGTGTTGTGCCTGTTAGAATGAATGACTAATATGAATTACAAGCGATAAAGTAGATAGATATCAGAGAAAAATCATGAATATGAGATAATTAGAGCAATGGTACATCTTTGAACTTTAGTTTAATTGGATCTTTAGTTCATAATGACACACTTCGACCCGGAATGTTCACCACGACTTTGAATCAAACTATGTTGGCCAATACCCGAAGGGTGGCGAAACCATAAAGTGTAGTGATGTGGAAAATGTGAATAAATTGAAAACCTAAAAGTGCCTAAATATAAGAGTGCGTTGATGAACGGGAATGAACTCATTTCACACGTGATGTCAGAGTATAAGTAAAATATAGTAAAGTAGGATGAGAATTATATAATTGAAAGTAATCTCCAATAACAAGATTTGCCAAGAATCCTCGTCGACATGAAAGCTCAGCACTAAAACCTGAAGAGGCGAAAAACAAGGGTGAGTGGGCCTAAAAACAAAGCTTGGTAAAAACCTTTTCAAAAAAACATAATAACCCCTTGTCATAAAACAAGTATAGTTTCCAAAATGTACATACTACGTATAGTAAGAAAATACTTACTGTAGCCTGCAAAATCTCAAGAATTTAATATGATACAATATTTCTTAAGTAAGCACATTATGTTCGTAATCACATAATCTCGCATAAGCAAACATATCATATCAAGTGCTCATCAACACATGCTGACACACGAGTTCATGCAGAGATATTCTGACATGAACATGACTAAGTGTAACAATGATATACGCTCTAGTACTATAATCACGTGAAACTGACACTATGGACAAGACATACGAGTCCTAATTATCTATAGCAATCTAGGACAAGACTGGACACCTACAATGGATCCAAAGTGAGTGTACAGTGCGATGTGCACATACACTTGAAAGACTGGCCCTAGCCCGAGCGAGTATTAACACCGGTGCAACAAACGATGAGCATATAACATAAATATAGTCATGCCACAGTGATATGATAATTCTAGTCAATATAATATTATTCGTAGCCGTAAATATAATTATGGCATCAATAATAATACTCATAGCTATGCATCCCGTAGAACGTAGCATAACTTCATAATTTCTATCAACGCGCTAAATCTTATAAATGTCATCCTAATCTAGGCGTATTGTGGAAAACTCTTCACTAAATGAATAAATGGTAACTAACAAATATATATACACTATATAAAAGAAAAGACCCACTCACATATACTTCTAAAGCTGCAGCCGTTCGAACTAGGATATCCAGAGTCTCCGATAGTAATCGCACCTAAGCATAATATTGGGACCCATTAATAGAACTCAATTAAAACGTTTGAATTTGGAGAAACAGACTGCGGATTCAGAATTAACGCGTTGAAATACGCTAACAAGGGTTCTAGGTAATTTTCATAAAAAGTCAACGAAAGTCAACGATCAACCCTAAAAAGTCAACCGAGACACCACGGTGGTCAACTATGTTAAAATTTTAGAATTTCACTAAATGGCTGCCAAAACGGATTCGGGACGTCAAAACTAGTCTAGAAGGGTTTCCGAAAAAATTCTCAAAAAGTTAATACAAAGAATATTTCAAGGAATATTCTAGAGAATATTCCCAAAATTGTTCTGAGCCCATTTCAGAACTGGGCCGACTGGAATAATGGCCCAAAGGTTTGGGCCAGGTTTGGATCAGGTTTTGGGCCGGATCTGGGCTTAAGGCCCTTGTTTTTTTTTTTTTTTTTTTTTTTTTTTCAAATCTGGTCACAGGTTTATACAAAGAAGAAAGCCGAAATCGGCTAGTTCGGCAGTGAAGCTTCCAGAGCTTCGTTCGAGCTCAATTTGCAATCAAAATCAACAAATTTGGTACAGATTTGAAGCTGGAAATGTGAGAAATCAAAATATACCTATACGGGACCAAATCATGGCTGAAAATGACCAGAAAAATCGCCTGAAAGTGGCCTATTGGCCACGGGTTCACTTTTCCAGAAAATGGAGGAAAGCTCTCCTTCATGATTTCTGAACCAAAACATCATTAAAACATACCTATAACTTAGTGATCGTTGCAGGACAACAAAAGGGTATAAGAAAGAAAGTTCCCGAGGCCTACCTTGGTCAGAAAAATGAAGTTTTGCCGGAGAAAGAAGATGAACAGAGGCAGTGGACACTGACAGTGCAAGGTTCACACCTGTCATGGTCGGATGGAGGTAAGGCCCTGTGGGGGCACATGCCCCCTCTCATCCTTTTTTTTATTTTATAAACATTCCAAATTATTCAATTAATTATTCTCATTTTTTTGCTCTGCAAGTTATTCAATTAATTATATTAAAATATTAAAATAGTGAAAATCCTGTTTTAGTTTTTAAATGCTCCTCCGTTTTGTATATTTTTCTCACGCACTAATTTCTAAACCTTGTTGAGTTGCATGTATTTGGTTAATTAGTACAAATGAGCATTAGATTGTCAACAATTAAAGACAAAATTAGACAATAGAGTAATAAAATTAGGCATTTTGTAATTAATTTTTTTTCAGCATTTGTAAAAGAACTAGTTTTATTTGTCCAAAAAATGAGCTCAAATTTTTTAACATGCCCCCTCTTAGTTAAATTTCTGGCTTTGTCCCTAACTGCTGGGTTGCGTTCATAGCTTAAAGTCCTAGTTTTTTGGGTTGAGAAACTCACAGATCTCATTGGGGCAACCCAGTTAACAGTGGTGATGGTATTGCCGGACCACCCAATAGGGGTTTGCAGAGAAAAATGAGGAATGAAAGACGAAGGGGTGAGGTTGCAGAGGTCGAACTCGCCTGGGTTGATGGCAGGTGGTGTATGGCGTGGGTGTGCATCTCAGCCTCTCAATGTTGTACCCAGATGGAAGAGAGTTTGAGAGGGATGGAGAGTATGCGAGTGACAGGGAATAGAGAAGGAAAATTAGGCCTGGCAAATGGGTCATGTCTGTCGGGTTCGTGTAACACTTGTTATTTTAACGGGTCGTGTCGTGTCTCACCTGTTATCTTAATAGGTCCTTAACAGGTCAGGTCACTTTAACCCGTTAAGAAAAATATATTTTTTTTCCTTAAATTTGCACATATCACACATTGCCACATAAATATTACTTCAAAACAATAAAATGCATTTGTCGTTTAAGTAATGCATCTACACTCGAAAATAAGAGCGTAATAAACAAACATTCATACACTACTAGTCTATTACAAAATATTAAATGTGCAAGGATATGCAAAATGAAAGAGTTTTTGTTTTCAAGGTTGTGAAGCCTTTCTCAAAAGTTTAAACATTGCCAATGGAACTCAAAGCTTGCATGTTATTCCTTTTACAAAATCAATTTTCATCGACCATCATTACATAAGATCACTTGTGTAAATATTTTAAATTGACGATCAAATTCATTCCTTGTATTCATATAGGATCAAGGAGTGTAG